GCCTTTTGAAATCTTTAATTTGAGCATTAAAGTATCTGGGAAAAGAGAGCGCTGAGCTGTGCGCACTTTTGTTGATCCAAACCACTCATTGCGTGTGCTAACTTAAACCAGTTGCTCCCATAATACTGAACAGAATGCGAATGCGCGGCGCGTCTCGGAAAAAAGATTGATCGGCTGAAGGTGATTTATTATTTATTATTTCTATATGTAGTCTTGTGAAAGCGGCCCATACGCGTGTCCTTCTGTGGATTCTACAGAGCGCAGTCCACTTTACAGTTCTGAAAATTCTCCCCAGATCTCAGAGTTAGGTTCGCTCCTTTGCTTAGGCCTAAGTTTGCCTCATTTAAGGTAGCTGACGAACTCTTGAAAGATGCATCTGAACTGCGACGTCCATCGGCAAGTCTCGACTCGAATTGTCGCACTTCTAGTGCCACTCAGCAGGGAAACAATGAAGAGCAACGTGAGTCCTCGAATTTCCTCAAGGGATCTTTCATCTGTGATTGCTCAGCTTTTTGCAGCACTCACTCTTCTCAAATCAGTGCCGGATGTGAGGAAATTTCGTCCGTTCACGATGAATTTGATGACGGACGTGTCGATTTTGTTCGCCGATATTGCTGGCTTTACGAAAATGTCGTCGAACAAATCCGCCGACGAACTAGTGAACCTACTGAACGATCTCTTTGGCAGGTAGGGCTTGCCCATGGTCATTCCCTTCTTCTTTGTGGAGGACGCAGGTCTGATTGTTGTTCAACGCCTTAGACTTCAGGTGGGGTGAGATGGAGTTAGAGAATGGGTCATGACTTCTTGAAGACTTACTTTTACTAAACTTTATATTTTAAGCTACTAAACTCTGTGAATATTTTAGATGAGAAAAATGTAATATTTGGGATGATGATTAATTGGCATCATTGCAGATTCGATTATCTCTGTCGAGTGGGTGGCTTGGAGAAGATCAGTACTCTCGGTGAGATTCAGTTTTCTTAGTCAAGGCAAATCATCGTGTTTCGAAACCCCCCCCCCCCCCCCACCCCGCAAAAAAACGTCTCTGCTCGGCACGACTCAGGGCACAGCATTGGTTGGGGAATCCCCATGGGGGGGTCGTATTTGGCCGCCAGGAGAGGGGGGTCGTAATGAGTGCGGTAGCCAGTATCGAGCAGCGCAAAGGTGTGCTGAGTCCAGAGTAGCGGAACTCGCTTTGTAGAGAACTCGGATATGTAAAAAAATAGTAGAAAACTTTCAACCATCAATTAATCCGAAATAACTGAAATTATTAATAAGTCGACATCATCTCGTAAGTCCGTTGATGACTGAACAGTACAACTCATACTCTGGTTCGTTGCGGATGATGGGGCGTGTCCGCGATTACGCTTGGCGCTGAGCCAACCTCTTTTTTCAACAAACGACAGGACTACCATATCGTTCGTACCAGACGTTTTCCAGCAGTTGGTCTCCTTTATCGGAGACAGCAATTGGCGGAGCACACATCTGGCGGCGTCGACACAGACACGCTCCATCATCCGCAAGGGAAAACACTGTAAACAAGTGCACAGGTTCGCCATGGACCTCCCTGAACCTATAGACACATTTGCTCGCGTGAACAGACATTACGCACAAGTTGCACCATCCCATCACCTCTGCGCGGCCCTCAGTGCGCGGCGCATCCAAAGTTGACGTGATCGGCGCTAAACGAACCATATCCTGCTCCTGCTCCACCACAGGATACGTTCTACATGCGTTCCTGGCTATTCGAACACGCTCACTTGAAACGGTACACAGGAAACGGGTTTTTCGCGCAGCTGGGAGTGTTCCTCAAGAAATCCCCATAGCGAGATCTCATGAATCCCGAGAGCTTCAGAAACAGTTCAAGAGGTTTTCAGAAAGAGAAAATCTTCAAACACTCGGATCCGTTCTCAGATTTGTGAAATGTTGAGTTACAAAAAAATATATTGGTTCAAACCTGTTCAACTTAAACTTCAACCCTTCACTCCCCATGGAATCCCTATGGGCAGATTTCTCTGTGATTTTTGCGACCTTCATAAACGTTTCAGTACATTTAGGAAGTGCAATCCTTCCTCTACACGAATACGGTCTCCTCTTCCCCACAGGTCCGCTTTTGAGGAAGTTATGGTCCTTCAAAGACACCCTACTTTGCTGAAAATTCTCGCTCCATGGCTAAAATTGCCGAACGATCTGCGGTCACATCTGCAATTACATGCGCTTCTGCTACCGTACTCCAATAATCGGGGTAATGCATTTTTACGGCGGTTTGTATAACTGTTACGTAGTGAGACAAGCCTAACTTTCTCTTTTCCTCGTCCTCAATCTTGGGAATAGACGTTGTTAACACTGTGGTCGCTGATGGCCGCTCCCAGAGAGGGAGTTCACGTCAGGTTAACGAATGCTCATTGAATTTAATCGCGATATTCGTTATTATTACCATGTGTGTTTCAAAACGGCCATCGAAGAAGTTCATCATACGAGTTTCTCATAATACGATTGTACCGTTTTTGTTTGCAATCATCTCTGTATTGTTCTATTATGTCATGACTTCAAGTCGTCCATTTAGTATGGGCACCTTCATACAAGTAGAATTTCATAGTGGGCGTTTCATAGTTTCATTTAAGGCGAAAAAAACCGAACGGCAAAAAGGGGGGGGGGTCGTACCGAACCCCCAAAAAAAGGGGGGGGGTCGTACAGGCTCGACCAAAATCCCCATCGAATGCTGTGCCCTGCACGACTCTCTTTCTCCACTTAACTTTGCTCTTAAAGGCAGTCGGCACGACAATTTGGTACTCATGGTCAGCCTGAAATGCTAGCAGCGCGCTATCTAGTGGGAACATGGCGAAAAAACGAAGTGAAGCAGTCGAAAACTGCGAGGAAAACCTTTGATCTTTAGAAGCAATTTCGGACGAGTTTCCCGTAGGCATATTGCAAATAACCGCTACGGTAGGTGCGGCTGCATGTATGTAATCATGTATCCATTCAGCACCGCAGCCGCTTCATATCAATCCCTTCGCTTCATATTTTACTTAGCAAATGGAGCAAAACGAGCCGCAGAAACGGTCGTCCATTTGTGGGCGGGCGGGCGTGGTGGTTTGGTCGGTATGTTGTGCTTGATAGACCCTTAATAAGGAATACCCTTCCTAGGATACCGCTGCGCAGCTCCTAGGAAAAAGCCGCTGCGCAGCGCCTGCTCAGGGTGGCGGAATCCCGCCCTGCCAAGCGTATAGATCCTACTCGTCTTTAGGGATTTATCGTGCCAACTGCCTTTGAGCTGCGTTCATACTTTATAGCAGCGTCCGCCAGCGACCACTAGCGTTCCGAGCGTCCGGCAGCGTCAGCGACCAGGAAAGTATAGATATCGATCTAGCGTCTGCCAGCGTCTACCAGCGTTCACCAGCGACCGGGAGTAGAGAGTATGGGGGAAGAGAAGGGTAGCAAACAGCTGGATTAGGCGTCGTGAAATTGCGGCGTGTGCAACCGCACCGCACAACTGCTAAAGCACAGAATTATGCAATTTAATGTACGGTGTAGTGTGTAGTTGTACGGTGCGGTTGCACACGCCGCAATTTCACGACGCCTAATCCAGCTGTTTGCTACCCTCCTACTTCCCCATACTCTCTACTCCCGGTCGCTGGTGAACGCTGGTGGACGCTGGCAGACACTGACAGAGGCTAGGTCTATACCTATACTTCTGTAGCCCTCGACGCGCTGGTGGACGCAGGTAGACGCTGCTAGACGCTCACCGATATCTATACTTCTTAGTCACTGACGCTCCAGGATGCTGGTAGACGCTGGTGGACGCTGCCGCAAAGTATGAACGCAGCCTAATAATTCGGTGATTGTTGTTTGTCTACTGCTAGTTTCATTTTTCTTAAAGGAGCATCCATCTTGAGACTTACAATAAAGGGCAGTCAGTTGCATGCATGAATTATTTGGTGCTATATAGTATTAGACTACATTTCAATTAGTGCAAAATTTCCTGTTGCTTCATTACCTCCGTTAAAAGTTCGGCATTA